TGTCGTTTGGGGTATATCATGGATGGGGGAAGGGGGTCGTTGTACCATGTTTCGGGGCGACAAAAAAGGGGGAAGAATTCAGAAGATGACCCCCTTGGCAACCCTAGACCCGTAATCTCCGAACCTCTAAACCCTAAACCCTAAGCCCTAAACCCCTAAACCCCTAAGCCCTAAACCCCAAAAGACCACAAAGAAACCCTAAACCCCACCCCCCCCCCCCCAAAAAAAAAAATAAAATAAAAACTAAACCCCAATAAAAACACCCAACAAAAACCACAAAAAAAAAAAAACTAAACCCCAAAAAACCGACAAAAGCCCAACAACCCTAACTCCTATACTCTACTCCCCGAAAAGTTCCTGGCCCTCAGACGCTGCTGGCAAACATTCTAAACCCTAAACCCTAGACGTTAACCCTAAACCCCTAAACTCCAAAAGCTTCCTGGGCCCTCAGACGCTGCTGGCCCACATGATCGACGGCTCCTTAGAGTGGCAGGGATGCCACTGGACCATTATAGTGTAGGGTTTAGGGTTTAGGGTTTGGGGTTTGGGGTTTGGGGTTTAGGGTTTAGGGTTTTGGGCTTAAAGGGGGCTTGTAGGGTTTATAGGGTATCATAGGGTTAGGTTTGCGGTTTAGGGGTTAGGGTTTGGGGTAGTTGCGGAAGTCCTCGGAGTCGGGGCCAATGCTTCCTCAAAGCTTTTGACTAAGGGCGTGTCTGTTTTTCAGGCTCTGAATTCCAGGGCTCAGTCCCCGTCCTGGGGTTCGGGGTATTTTTCGCCTGTTGCTTTGAAAAGGTTTACAGGGTGAGGGAGAAGGTTTTGGTTGGGGCACCCTGACCCAAGGCCCCAAGCCCCAAACCTCAAACCCGGCCTGCACCAGAAGCCTAGGTGCAAAAGGGTTTAGGGTTTAGGGTTTAGGGTTTAGGGTTTAGGGTTTAGGGTTTAGGGCAATGTCTCACTTGATGCATGAACTCCGATTGGCGAAGAAGGCACGCCGGCCAACGCAATGTTGTCCAACAGCCAGAGCTGATGAGTCGGAGCTTGAGTTATATTCGATTCGTCTAAGTATACAACAATCTTCGAAGCCACATTCCAGCCCTTGAAATCGAGGCTTCTACCGCCACGTCTTCAGTTTCGGCCTGGACCTGACACCCTTCATCGTCCACGCGGAGGCACCGCAACGTCCTCACTTCAATCCTGAAACCCCTCCTTGGAGGTTCATGGGTACTTATGAGTAGGGTTATAAGTGGGGCAACTAGGGTTATAGCCTTATTTAGGGTACTTACAACATAAAACCCCAAAAGGCCTCTTAAAGCCCTAAACCCTTAAACCTCCGGTCCCTGAACCCAACCCCTCCCTTAAGCCTAAATCCCCTGGGCCCAAGCCCTTTCGGACCATGTTTACCTCCACCCTGCCTTGCAGGAGGGGCGCGAGAGCGGGCTCGAGGCGCTTCTGGGGTGTCTTCTAGCGCCTTTTTCGTCTTCAGGTTAGGTTTGGGGTGAAGGGTTTAGGGCTTAGGGTTTATGGTTGATAGGGTTGAGGGTTTAGAGTTTTATAGGGCCTGAGTTTACGTAGGTTTTAGACTTAGGCTGAAGTTGAGAGCTTAGGTTTGGAAGCCGCTTCATGAGTTGAGGGTTTTGTGGTTCAAGGGTGCGGCTTGCAAAGGAGGTTACCACTGGGGCTTTAAGTACCCTCAGTTGGGTCACCCCCAATGCATGTGTGTTCCCCGAGCCTGTAAGCAGAACCATCGCTGAAACTTGCACACCAAAGCCCTAAACCGCCGCATAGTTGGACAAGGGCATGCCATTAAGCCGAAAAAAACCTTCCGTGTGAGTTTCCGTAAGCATCACAGATGAGAACATACAGAGTTTTCATGTGCTGGAGCAAGTTTGATCCAGGGAGCTGAGCTGTTGTTGTTGGCTTGCCGTCAACAACCCTGAAACCCCTAAACCTTGCGCAAGCTCCGACAAGTGCATTCCGAAATACAGTGTCCTGGTCTGAAAGATGGCGGGGGGCAGGGGGGGAGGCGGGGGTGGGGGGGGGAAAAACCCTATCGCCCAAAATCCTACTACAGAAGACCCCCTAAACCCAAACCCCTTATCCCGCAGAAACAAGCGCGTGTCCCCTTCTGCAGGATGAGGATGTGGAGAAGCTGAGGCCTTGCGGCTTCTGCTTGTTCACCTTAAGCATTCGCCTTGGGATGTTCGGCCTTATACTAACAGTCCTTAATATGGATTGTAGTAGGGTGTACTAGAATCCCTATTCAGGGCTGTTCGTATCAGGGGGAACATTCCAAGATGAACCCTACGAAGCTGCAAGAACTGCACGAACATAGAGAACCTGAACTCTAATTGCCCTTGGCCCTCAAACGGCTTAGGGTTTTCTGACATTTGGGGCTATGCATTCTTGGGCTTCTTAGAAGCGGTTTAGGGTTTTGGGGAAGTGTTGCTTTGGCCAGCCTTGCCTTTGGGTCGGCGCGCCCGGGCGTTGTCAACCGCAACCAGGGGGTTTAGCCAAAAAAGTTTAGGGTTTAGGGTTTAGGGTTTAGGGTTTAGGTTGTCAAAGTACCTTTCCGAGCTTCCGAAACTCGCGATGTCAAGGTAAACCACGAGCATCGCCTAGTTCATGGAAGGATCTACGGAAGAGTCCTTATCTGGGTATCCTCAACAACTCTAAATTCAACCCTGAACCTTCAACCCTGAAGCCCTCCCTCCTTCTCCGGGCCTTCCATGAAGTTCTAAACCCTGGGTGTGGAGCTTAGGCAGGGCGTAGGGTTTAGGGTTTAGGGTTTAGGATTTACCCCCTTGAACCTCCGAATCCCTTTAGGGTTTAGAAAGTAGTTTAAGTTTCTGGGGGTTTGTATAAGCCTTTTTTCCGGGGCTGCAGACCGGGACTCTATAAACAGGAAGTTCCTGCGCACCAACAGCAACGACCTCGCCACAGCGTCTCGGACCGCAAGGAGAAGTTCCAGTGTGCTGTCAAGGCTATTTGCTTGTTTTGGAGAGTTGTTTCGGGTTTCCCGAAACCCTAAACCCTGAACCCTAAACCCTGAACCCTAAACCCTAAAGCCCTAAGAGTCGAAGAGCAGTTGATTTCATTTAAAGCCTCGTGGCATGCTTGTTTGCTGAGTGCTTCGGCCCGCTTTGAGAACGCGGCCTTGTTCTGAGACATCTCAGAAGTGTTGGCAGTGAGGGCCGGTGGGAAGGGGGAAGTCTGAGCAATCCCTTTTCCGAATATTTTGCATAAGCCACCAGCCAGGGTGTCAAGCCCCGAATCCCTGTAAGCTCTTAATGTAAGCTCTAAGAACCCAAAGCCTGCTTCTTTGCCGGCTCTTGGTGAAAAGACCCTCATAGGACTCTTCGGCAACCTACCAAAAGGTAGGTTTGGGGTTCTCAAGGTAGATGGGCCATCCTGACTCAGGTTCAGCTGGTGAAGGAGGTTTCCTGGGACCGCTGGGAGGAACTGGCCACCAACATCAAGCACCTCTGCTACTATTTGCTTAAGACCCCCCGCCCACCCCGCCCCCCAAAATAAAAAAAAACTACAAAAAGACATATGTGTGTATATATATATATATATTATGTGATATATATATATATATATATTATAGTATAAATATACTATATATATATATATATATATATATATATGTATATATCGATTTGTATATCTATTTATATTCATACATGCAAATAGATTCTTCCTTACAAGGGTAATTAGGGATTATTGTCTTCCATTCTTGGGTTCTGAAGCAAACAGCCGTCTGCCTTTGTCCACGCTTTGAAAGACTCGATAAGAGGGCTTCAGGGTTTAGAGGGCTTTGCCTGGAGGTTCCTTGGTGGCAAAAAAAAACTGTAAGTCGGGCAAGTACGCACACATGCATAACGTGTGTGTGTGTATATAGATAGACAGATATACATATATATATGTATATATGTGTATATATAAAAATACACATATGTATATGTATATATGCATGCATGCACATATACAGCGCGTACATATATGATCACGAATATGCATGTGTGCGTATATTTTAATTGCTTATGCATCTTGCTGTACATGTCTTACTAGCCCAGTGGTACCCTTTACCCTTTTTTTAGTTATGGGTTCCCTTATAAAATAACCAACCCAAAAAAGCGTGCCCTCATTATAATATGGTTACTGGGCTACCAAGAAAACGAATCTAGGCTCCACTCTGAAATCTTCTTGCACTGGAAGATGCGAACTCCTGGGTTGAGGCCTCTGTCCGAAGCGCATCCTAAACCCTAAACCCTAAACCCTAGACCCTAGACCCTAAACCCTGGACCCAGACCCTAGACCCTAGACCCTAGACCCTAGACCCTAGACCCTAGACCCTAGACCCTAGACCCTAGACCCTAGACCCCAGACCCTAGACCCTAGACCCTAGACCCTAGACCCTAACCCTAACTCGAACCCTAAACCCTAAACCCCTGAGGCATAAGATTCGTCAGAAAGGCTTCGAAGGCCTGATCATTGCCGCCCTGGCCGCATCCAGCCGGCTTCAGTTCTCTTCTAGGTGGGGGTTTACGAGAATTCGGGTTTAGGGTTTTGGGTTTAGGGTTTAGGGTGGACCCTTAACATAGACCCCCCAAACAGAACCATTCTCTTTGTATAAGGGGCCCCCAAAGGGTACCCCCCATTTTCGGACACCGCCAGGTCGGCCTCTGGGACATTTTCTGTATTTTCCCTTGTTTGGGTTTAAGAGGATCATATCCAGGAACATTTTTCAGACCCTCAACCCTCAACCCTCAACCCTAAACCTAAACCCTAAACCGAGGGGGTTAAGGGCCACCCTAGCTTGTGTTTCAGAAGTCACTGGCTTTTGGGCCCTTTTGGCTCTAATTTTTTTTTGGAGGGGGGGGGGGGGGGGGGTGGTTAAGGGGATCGGACTGCGTCAAAGTTCAGTGAACGTCGGGATTGGCGCTTACAGGCCAAAAGCAAAAACATGCAGCTTTGGTATTAATTAGAAAGGAAGCGTCCTAGCCCTGACCTGTATGGATCTGTTCAGTGGCCTGAACCAGGCGCTCCAGCACATGTTGCTGTGCCTCCGACAGGCTTTGAAAGAAAACAGCCTGTGTGGCAGGGCTGGCTGTGAGATACTCGTCCAGGGTCACCCGCAGCCTAAAAGGCCAAGCATGTGTGCTATCATGAGCTATGTCGAGCACTGCTTGCATGCTAAGGAGGTCTGGGGAAATCTGCATGTCGGGGGGCACTTCCCTGCGCAAGGGTCCATGCACCCTGACTGCTGGCAGGCGGTCCTGTGCGTGAATGCCACCTGAGGCAGTGGCCTTTATGGCTCTGGCTCGCTCTCGCTGTCTTAGGTCTACAAGGGGCTGCGCCCGGGCACGTGTCAGAAGTTGCCACCCGCAGGTTTTGGAATCATGCGTGACATGTCGTATGAGTCTCCTGCGGGCCCAGAACTGCGTAAGGCACACTGTACAGAGACTGGCGCCGACATAGCTTTCTAGCAATGGTCGTTGGCCATGCTTAGCAAGCCTGTGAGCCCGCACCTGCTGTCGCGTAGAGAAGGCGGCTGGACATTTCTCACAAGCGAAAGGATGCTCTAGCTCGACTCTGCTTGCTTCGCTGGGGGCTGGACTTGGGCCGGGGACGGCTTTCTTACTTTGCAGGCTGCGTTGGTATTCATGCCAATTGTGCTCCCCGACTTTGCGCATGCCTCGCCGGATTTGGTGATGAAGCTGGCGTAGGCTGTGAGCATTGTCTGCTCCGGCTTCGAAGACCTCTGCCGGCAGTCGAGGAGTGGTTTCGCGGTCGAAAAGCCCCTGAAGCCACGCAAGATCGCGTTGTACTAGGTGCAGCCAGGCATCGGCGGTGCAGGCGGCCTCTACTTGAAGAAGATGCCAAAGGTCCTCATGCTGCCCTCTACTGATCTGCACTAGGTGCCTGAGCCTAGCGGCAGACAAGCATTGTTCCGCGTTGGGGTGCCCAGTGGCGCCGAAGACATCTGCAGACGCCGCCCAGGTGCTGTCCCCGGTGTAACGGTCTTCTGGCAGGAGTTTGCGCAGCACGCGTGCAAGTCCATGGTGCCATACATGTGACTCGCGCCTACTGAGTTTCCCCCAAACCTCAGCACCGTGCACAGCACGACTAACAGCGAGGCTTTGCATGAGAAGGCTGCGCGTAGCGAAAGGGGCTTTGTCGTTACGGAAGACTTTCTTCGTCAGCGGTCCAGCGGAAGCCTGCGCCGCTGCAAGGTTTTGCCGGATGTCAGGCAGCGCCGCGCCCGTCTCCGAGATAACATTGCCGAGATGTTTGTAGCTGGTCACGCAACGAAGGAGGTGACGCCCATCCCCACCGGTAAACTCGATGGTGCCTTCCCCAGTTCGGAAGAGGCTGCGCTTGAGTTTTTTGGATCCTGGTCCCGTAGGGCATACCAAAACCTCCGTCTTGCCGGCAGCGTAGTTCGGTGCCATTGCCCTGCGGGTGCAGCTGTCGTGCAGTACGGTAGCCGCCTGTTGCACAGTGTTGACGACTTCCTCGCAAGAGTCGCAGGTCAGCGGTAGAGCAACGTCGTCGGCCCACGTCGGCAGCGGGCACGGCTGCCCGTTTAAGTTGAGGTGCTCTTGTACTTCGCGCAGCATGTCCGCAGCAGCAAGCGCAAAGAGGGCATCTGCTATTGCGTCGCCCGGCCTTGAGCCGGCGTGTGTACGGACAAGTCCTTCAAGGCCGTCTTGTACGAAGTACGTTCCGCTGAGCATGACTCTGACGTAGCGGCGTAGGTGCTCCGGGGCCTGCTCCAGCAGGTCAGTGTTGCGAGCATACTGCTGAACCTGGTGCATAAGTGTAGCGGGCACCTGCAGGCGCCCAAGTATCCAGGCAACGTGTTGGTCTGTGGGGCTTTCGGCGCCGTCAGCAGCTGTCGGCCACATAGACTCTCGCAGCAATCTGTAGTACGCGGCGCTGAGGTCAAGGAAGATCGTAGCGCAGGGTGCGCCCCTGGCTTTGGAGATCCTTCCCCACGTGGCAACGTAATGGTGAAGGGAGTTTGAGGACGACCCTCTGACGCAGCCCTGTTGCAACGGCTGGGCAGTGTGTCCTAGTTGCTGGCACAAAGCAGGGCGCAGCAGCCGGTGGTGCATCTTCGCCGCGGGGTCAAAGAGCGCGATGCTTCTGTAGTTTAGAGGGTCAGTTGGCGTGCCTTTCTGCTTGAAAAAAGCAACGAGTTGACAGCCCCGATACTGTATGGGCTCGGTGAGCCGGATATGGGCTTTCATAAAAATGGGCAGCAGTGTTTTGGCGGCTCCTGTCGGGCAGGATTTCCACACGGCTGCAGTAATTCCAGGGGCCCTGGAGCCTTGCCATCTTTGGCCTCGCGCACAACTTGCTCTACTTGGAAGAGAGTTGGGAGGTCTGTCAGACGGTACCTAGCACTGGGCTCCACTCTACTGGGGGCGTCTTGGCTGCAGTACTCCGCAGGGGTGAGGATGGTCCCAGCTTCCTGCTGCGCAAACACATCCCTGTGCGCCTGCTGTTTTTCGGCAAATGTTTCAGCGTGCTTGCCAGTAGGGAGCATGACAGTAAGCGGCTGTCCAAAGGACTTGTGGACCTTTTTGCCTGCAGGCCGGTATATCTTGAGTGCGTGGTAAAGCTGCTGCGATGCGCCTTTGTTAGCAGCTTCCTGGAACTTGGCAGCAAGGACCTCCAAGTGGTCCAGCCTGTCTTGTTTCAGAGAAGCTCGTAGCATGAGGCTTGCTACACTAGTGTCACGTATGGCAGTGGCATGACGGCGGTGTAAGGCGCATTGCCTGTCGCGCCATTCCTGTACCTTCCGAATGAACTCCGCACTGATGTGTCCAAGTTTCCAAGCCCTCCAGCAAATGAGTTGCCGGAGACGTTGGATACCATTGTGGGCAGCCTTGATCCTATGACGGGCCTCCCTGCGGTACCTCACCAGGTTCCAGGTGTGCTGAGAGATGTGCGCCTTTCTGTGTTGCTTTGGTCCCTGACTTCGGCAGCTGCTACGAAGCATGTCGTCAACTCTGGCAACGTGGTCATGTATGTTGGTACTCCAGGGCACTTGGCTGGCAGTCTGCAGCGCCGCAGGGATTGGCGCCTCTGCTTGTTGTGTGTCGGAAACACGTAGCAGAGGGATCCGGGCATGAGCGCGACTGGGCTTGGAAATGGCGCCAGCTTGGAGGGTGATCTTCAGGGACGTTGCGGTGTGGTCTTCCCCCTCCCTGAGACTGAAGTCAGGGTGCATACGTATCTCGCTGCAGTGACTGAGCCAGTCCTGCGGCACGAGTACATAGTCGATGCGGTGCGTGTCACCGTGGCTGGAAGCCCATGTGTGCACGTCAGTGTCGGGCTCGACGCACTGTCCCTTAATGCCCTGGAAGGTAGTGGGGGCGCATAAGGCATTCACGTGGCAGAAGTTTCGCAGGCAGGCTCCCGCAAAATTTTCGGCTTCGCTCGCGTGTGGACCGACGGCCTGTGATGTGGTGGCGCCAACTCTTGCATTAGCATCGATGCAACATATGAGTGGTAGTCCTGTACCGACATAGGGATTCAGCTTGTTGGTGAGGTCGTCCCACCAGGCGGCAATCTCTTCAGCAGGCTTGCCTGTGTGGGGCGCATGTGCGGAGAGGATGTAGCCCGTCCATTTGTCGGTGCACAGCCTGATCAACAGGTGCCTGTCTGTGCTAATTAGGACGGTAGCATCCTTGATCTGGACTGGCCCGATCTGTGCGTCTTTGGCAATCCAGATCGCGCAGCCGCCCTCGCCTCTTGGTGTGGCCGCGCTACTCACAGTGATGTGCGTCTCGCCCTGGCCGAGTGACGCCGTTCGGTACCTGGTCTCTTGCAGTCCAAGCACCGCAACGCCGTCTCGCCTCATAAGGGCTTGGAGGAGTGGCCCTCGGTCACGCATGGACTGCACGTTGTAAGTGGCTACTCTGAGCTGTAGGGGCTGCGTTCTGGCTGTAGTGCTGCTTCTGGGAACAGGCAGGTGCGCAGGCGCAGCAGCTTCTCGCTCTTCGTACTCACCTTTTAGGAGTTCCTGCAGTGAGGGAATGGCAGACGTCTGGGCTTGTAGTCTCCACGCCCAGGGGAGGAGCTCATGTTCCAGGAGTGCGAGCACGGCTTTGGGTAGGGCTGTACATGCCCCAGTGCTTCTGGCGTGGTTGGCTAGCGCGTCGGCGGATTCGTTGTAGATCTGGCCTACGTGTCCTTTGGTCCATTGCACTTGGACAGGGGAGGTCCTGGCTTCATGGATCTGCATGACTTGTCGGATGCTGGGGCAGAGGCGCCTCTGTTTCTCCTTGGCGTCAGGAGGTGAACTGGCGCCGTTCGCAGCGGTGGCAATGACCTCACAGTCGGTCCAGATGGTAACATGGATGCGTATGTCAAGCCCAAGCGTCCAGAGCAGCGCAAGGAGTACTGGGATTCCCTCGGCGTCGATGTTTGAGAGATGGTTGTCTCTACAGAGGCCTATGTCGGCTATGGCCTTCACAGTACCGTATGCACAGGCGGCGTATTGCTTTTCCTCACCAAACTGTACTCCGTCAACGAGGATTATTGCCCAGCCTGGACAGTGCGAATCCTTGTGTGAGCCGTCTGTGTAGATGTCAAGCGCACGGAGACAGGCTGGAAAGAAGGGGAGGGGGCCCTGAAGTTGGCTGCGGGATCCGCATGGAAGGTCGCACGGGGGCTGCCGTCTCCAGAAGTCTGTCCATGCTTCTTTGCAGCCTGCGAGCGCAGACTCTAGCCCGGCGAGACTCGCATAGGGATCTTGGCTTGGGCCGCAGGGCTGCCTTGCTGCGGTTGTTGCTTTGCTTTTGTCGGCTCCGGTCTTGGGCGGCGCTTGCTGTTGGTTGTGTTCGAAGAGAGTGTCGAGCAGGGTTGCAGCAAGGAAGAAAGCTCTCAGCTTTTGTTCCGGCGGCAGGCTGTTTAGAAGCGTATCTTCCTTACGGGTGGACTGCTTTGGGGAGTTGCTGTCGGCGTGCTGGTTGCTGCCGCGAGGGGGTCTGGGGTTAGCAGAGGCATTTCCACTGTTGCTTGTTCTTGTTGCGCTGACATGGAGTCTGTCTTGGGGCGAGGTGTGTTCTGTTTCAGTCCAGCAGATCGCGGCAGGGCGGCTGTGGCTTCTACTGGGCGTCGGTATGGGCCTTGTCTGGCTGACTGAAGTTGCGGCATAAGTGTGGGAGGGGTCCGGTACGGAAAAGGCGCCGCTCGGCTGCATGCTTTGCGCTGGCGTGAAAAGGCAAGCAACAGCTAGGAGTTTGGCCCAGAAAGGTATGTTGGAGCTGCTGGGAGGCGATCTGGCAGGGCTGTTGGCAGGTTGCCCATTCCTACTATGCGGACGTTGCTCAGGCGGACTGCAGTGTGGTTGTGTGCAGCGCAGGGCTGCCCACAGGTATGCATGAGGTCCGCTTATGCATCTTCCTACACGGATTAGCGGATCTGCGTTTCTTTCGCCCCCTTGTAGTTGCAGCCCCCACAGAAGCAAAGAGAAAAGCGCAGCGGTAATGTAGGCTAACCATGAATGGAGCAGTCCGCTCGTCTGCGTCTGCAGGTAATGCAGCAGTAGGTCCGCAGGAGCGGTGAACGTGACAGGTGCGTTGCAGTGTTGCGCACTGCGGCAAAGGGCTGGCGCAAGCTGCCGCGGTGATGGGTCCTCATCTCTGGCGTTGCGGCGGTGAGTAGAGGCTGCTCCACTGTGGGCTTCTGCGCAGTGTGTAAGGGGCAGCAGGGCGCTTGGCGAAGTGTCTAGTCTGGGTCTGGGTACGGCATAGCCTGAACCTGTGGTGGCCTGACATGGAAGGGAGAGGACAATGCTCAGCGTCTCACGCGCGAGCTGCGACTGGGCTTCCTGTCGACCATGGTTGAGCTGCGACTGGGGCGCTGCTGCGCTTGGCTTGGTGTCTAGTCCAGATGAGGCATAGCCTAAACCAGTGGTGGCTTGACGTGGAAGGGAGAGGACAGTGCTCTGCGTCTCATGCGCGAGCTGCGACTGGGCTTCCTGTCTACCAATTCGACATGCAGAAGTGGTGCCTAGAGGGCGCGTGCTGCGGCGCGCAGGAAGGACATTGCTCAAAGTCGCGGGAGTGAGCTGCGGCAAGGACGCTATGGCGGCTGCCCTGGCAGAACATTGGTTCACGTAGGCTGTGCCTCTGGCTAGGTGACCATCCTGTTGGTGCGTGGACGGCGGGACGCATGTTGTACTGTCCGGTGCAGATGAGATACGGCCTGAATCAGGAGCGGCCTGACAGGGAAGGAAGAGGACGTTGCTCAGCGTCTCATGCGCGAGCTGCGACTGGGCTTCCTGTCGGCCTTGGAAGCTCTTAGCGTCAAGACCTAGGTGGACGTTGCTCAGCGTCTCATGCGCGAGCTGCGACCGGGAGGGAAAGTAAGGGCTGAACGCCGGGTCTTGCTGGTAGAGGATGAAGTGGTCGGCATGTTCAGAGCGCACTGTTTGCGGATGGTGCTGTCGCGTGCTGCGTTGTGCCACACGGACATTGCTCAACGTCTCACGCGCGAGCTGCGACAGGGGCATTGTGGCATCTTCCTCAGCGCGACAGTTGTTCGGAGGAGGTGTTCCGCTGTTTTTGCCTGCGCTGTTGCAGCCGTTGCAGTGTTGCGCGCTGTAGCCGGAGTTGTTTCTAGCGCTGTATGTGTACGCGGGTTCTGTGGCGCACAGTGCAATGTCCAGTCTGGATGATGTGTTTCCTGAACCTGGAGCGGCCTGACATGGAGGGGAGAGGACAAGGCTCAGCGTCTCACGCGCGAGCTGCGACCGGGCTTCCTGTCGACCGTGGTTGTACGCTAGAGTGGTGCCGGGAGGGCGAGTGCTGTGGCGCGCAAGAGGGACAGTGCTCAGCGTCACGGGCGCGAGCTGCGACTGGGGCGCAGTGTCGCTTGGCCTAGTGTCTAGTTCAGATAAGGCATAGCCTAGACCAATGGTGGCTTGACGTGGAAGGGAGAGGATAAAGCTCTGCGTCTCACGCGCGAGCTGCGACTGGGCTTCCCGTCTACCATATCTACACGCAAGAGTGGTGCCAGGAGGGCGCATGCTGCGGTGCGCAGGAGGGACATGGCTCAAAGTCGCGGGTGTGGGCTGTGACATGGACGCTATGGCTGCTGCCCTGGCGGAACTGGGGTTTATGTAGGCTGTGCCACTGCCTATGTGACCACCTTGTTGGTGCGTGGATGGTGGAACGCATGTTGCACTGTCCGGTTCGGGTGGGATACGGCCTGAATTTAGAGGGGCCTGACAAGGAAGGGAAAGGACGTTGCTCAGCGTCTCATGCGCGAGCTGCGACTGGGCTTCCTGTCGGCCTTGAAAGGTCTTAGCGTCTATACCTAGGTGGACGTTGCTCAGCGTCTCACGCGCGAGCTGCGACCAGGAGGGAAAGTTAGGGCTGAACGACGGGTCTTGCCGGTAGAGGATGAAATGATCGGCGTGTTCAGAGCGCACTGTTTGCGGGTGATACTGTCGCGTGTTGCGTTGTGCCACACGGGCGTTGCTCAGCGTCTCAGGCGTGAGCTGCGACAGGGGCATTGTGGCATCTTCTTCTTCAGCGCGACAGCTGTTCGGAGGAGGTGTTCCGCTGTTTTTGCCTGCACTGTTGCAGCGTTGTGCGCTGTAGCCGGTGTTGTTTCTTGCGCTGTGTGTGCAGGTGGGTAGTGTTTCGCACGGTGTGGTGTCCAGTCTGGAGGATGTGTTTCCTGAACCTGGAGCGGCCTGACATGGAAGGGAGAGGACAATGCTCAGCGTCTCACGCGCGTGCTGCAACTGGGCTTCCTGTTGACCGTGGTTATATGCCGGAGCGGTGCCGGGAGGGCGGGTGTTGTGGCACACAGGAGGGACATTGCTCAGCGTCACGGGCGCGAGCTGCGACTGGGGCGCTGCATCGCTTGGCTTGATGTCTAGTCCAGTTGAGACAAAGCTTAAACCAGTGGTGGCTTGACGTGGAAGGGAGGGGACAATGCTCTGCGTCTCATGCGCGAGCTGCGACTGGGCTTCCTGTCGACCGTGGTTATATGCCGGAGCGGTGCCTGGAGGGCGGGTGCTGTGGCACACAAGAGGGACATTGCTCAGCGTCACGGGCGCGAGCTGCGACTGGGGCGCTGTATCGCTTGGCTTAATGTCTAGTCCAGTTGAGACAAAGCTTAAGCCAGTGGTGGCTTGACGTGGAAGGGAGAGGACAATGCTCTGCGTCTCATGCGCGAGCTGCGACTGGGCTTCCTGTCTACCATATCTATACGCAAACGTGGCGCCAAAAGGGCGCGTGCTGTGGCACGCAGGGGGGGCATTGCTCAACGTCACGGGCTCGAGCTGCGACTGAGGCGCTGCAGCTGTTGCCTTAGCGGAACAATGGTTCGGGTAGGTTGTGCCACAGTTAGTGCCTATGTGGCCTCCTTGTCGGTATGTGGATGACGGGGCGCGCGTTGCACTGTCCAGTTCAAATGGGACACGGCCTGAAACTGGAGGGGCCTGACAGGCCTGACAGGGAAGGGAGAGGACGTTGCTCAGCGTCTCACGCGCGAGCTGCGACTGGGCTTCCTGTCGGCCTTGAGCGCTCTTGTCGTCTGGACCTGGGTGGACGTTGCTCAGCGTCTCATGCGCGAGCTGCGACCGGGAAGGAAAAAGAGGGCTGAACGCCAGGTCTTGCCGGTTGAGGTGATTGGCATGTTCAGTGTGCACTGTTTGCGGGTGGTTCTGTCGCGTGCTGCATTGTGCCACACGGACGTTGCTCAGCGTCTCAGGCGCGAGCTGCGACAAGGGTATTGTGGCATCTTCCTCAGCGTGACAGTTATTTGGAGGAGGTGCTCCGTTGTTTTTGCCTGCGTTGTTGCAGTGTCGTGCGTTGCAGTCGGAGCGATTTCTTGCGCTGTTCGTGCACACGGATTGGGTGGCACACGGTGTAATGTCCAGTCTGGATGGTGCGTGTCCTGTGCCTAGAGCGGCCTGACATGAAAGGGAGGGGACAATGCTCAGCGTCTCACGCGCGAGCTGCGACTGGGATTCCTGTCGACCAGGGCTACTTGCGGAAGTGTTGCCGAGAGGGACGATGCTCAGCGTCTTGCACGCGAGCTGCGACCGGGATGTATAGTTGTGTCTGGTCCTCAGTGTTTGCAGGCAGTGCAGTCGAGGATCAGCGCAGTCTGTGGGCGTTGGTGCATCGTGTTGTCTTTTCCTGCGTTGCGCAAGAGGGACATTGCTCGGCGTCACGGGCGCGAGCTGCGACTGGGGAGCTGTGACTGCTGCCCTGGCGCGGCAGTAAGCTTCAAAGCTGCCGGCTGTCAGGACAGCAGGCTCTGCATGTTGGTGGGCCTGGCATGCCAAAAACACGGCGCCTTGTGGCCTTGAAACACAGTGGGGGTTCCCGTGGCCTTTTGACTGGCTAGGGTTTATTCTGGTGTTTATGCTGGGGAAACCTAGTCCGTGGTAGTATGTGTCGGGAACCCGTGTCAGTGGAGGCGGCCTGCCTGCTGGTTGTTTAAACACTGGCGGCCTTAGGTTTATCGACCTGGGGTGACCTGAGGTCGAAGTGTACACGCGTTCAGAAAGACTTTCAAGAGAATGCTCAATGTTTGCCCGGCAAGCCAGATCGCCGGCGCCTTGTGGCAGCTGTCCATTACATTGAGGGCATGGTCTTGAGGGCATCATGTCTGGCGAGTCGTCTGCTCGGCCTGGGATTATCCCTGAGGTTTGGGAACTAGGGAACCTTAAAGGTTGAGGCTCAGGGCGGCTGTGAAACCTACTTGAAAAACTCGTCTTCTCTTGAGTGACAGCGGTAAGCTTGTTCGCTGGGTACCCTTGTTGCTTGTGTGGGATGTTTCTCTTTGGCGGCTCGGCTAAGACGTAGGCTTTGCCGTGGCAGCTGGGTATCTTACTTATGGGTGGGGCAGTAGCGCAGTAGAAGCTAGTGTCAAGAGCAACAGCAGTGTAGATTCGGGAGGGGGACCCTGGAAACTTATGTACAAGGGTGAGAGCAACTGTCGTGAACCTGTGTCTGTACAAGGTCTGGGCTTCAGGTTTACCCGGCAGCGTGAGTTGCCCAACCCAATGGCAGTCCGTCAGCTTCCGCGGACAGGCATACCTTGAGGTCGTCCAAATCTTGCAGCTGTTCTCTGCTACGACATGCTTCCTAGCGCATGTGCTTCTGGCGGATCCGGCTCCTCTAGGTCGCCATCGTCGTCGATGAGGTGGATGGGCACTCCAGCTGGGATGGCAAGCTCTTGGGCAACGAGCTCCTTTGCCGCCTGCTGTCTCTTTGCTGCAAGCTTGTCTGCCAGAGTCACGGCTTCGCGTTGGCGTAGCAACTGGGGTGACATGGATGTTGTCTTTGTCGTCTCCTTCACGGATGTTCTTGCCTTCCCTTGGCCTGGGGATGCGCGTCTGGCTGTCGGGCGCACCATATGGTTGATGCTGTCTATGGCTCCTTGGCTGGCACTCGCGGAGAGTACCTGTGTCCCACTGTCCATTGCTGGCTGCACTGACTTGGGAGCATATCCATCTCCCCCTGGAGGTCCTGCTTTGGCCGAAGGAGGTGTCTGATATGGGTCTGTCGTGGCTGCATTGCCAGTGGAGGGCGTGGCTGTTGCTCGCATAGCCGGCTGTGTCTGTCTGGGGGTCATAGCAGCGTTGGATCTTCTTGTCGGGGTCACTGTACCCTGCATGGCTCTTCCAAGCACATCTTGCAGGTAGTCGAGCTGGAGGTCCTCGTCCATGTTCACGTCCTGGAAAAAGTCTTCCGTCTCCAAATCTTGCTGAAGTGGTGTTGGTTGGGATCCCGCTGCGATGGCTCTCACTTTGCTCCTGGCTTCTTCTTGCCGTTGAGTGGCTTCTCGAAGTTCCTGCGCGTTGTTCTCCATGTCCTTGGCGTGTCTGGCCTTCTCTCTTCTGTATGACTCCCGGATGTCTGCTTCGAAGCGAGCCCATTGCTGCATCTTGACTTCTCTGGCTTCTATCAGATGCTTGACCTTGGCCTCTGTTCTCCTGGTAGCGTTCAGGGCCCCTTGCAGGTCCTTTACCAGGGCATTGTCTGCATGGTCTGTTGTGGTGCTGGAGTGCACCACTGTGACAACTGCCCCTTTGCTCTCCTGAATTGGCCTCGCATCGTAGGCGGGGAAACACGATCTCGTTGAGGCCTTGTCTTGTTGTCGTCTCCAGGGTCGCTGTGGAGAAGATTTCCAGGCTCCAGGCCAGTAGGACCAGGCACGTTCTCCACGCCATTGCTTTGACATGACCTGGGCACGGTAATCTGGTCTGCTGTGATGTGCTTGCAGTAGATCGATGTCTCGGGCAGCAGGAGGGAGATGTTCTCGTCTGGCCTTCCGGATTCTCTTTCTCGCCTTGCTTCTGGCTTGCCGTTGTTTGCGGTGCCAGGCTGGGCTACGTCGGCTACGTCGTGTCGTTGTGACACTGGGGCCTACAGCAATCGCTCGCTAATGAGCGTCTTCTGGGCCCTGGTTAAGGGGTTTAGGGTTTAGGGATTCAGGGATTTAGGGTTCAGGGTTTAGGGATGTAGGGCTTAGGGTTGGGTTAGGGTTTGCAGGCGGTTTTGGGTAGGCAGTGAGAGAGATAACATGTACTCCGGCGTGGCACCGCTGGTCATCCTGGACGGGGTGGGGAAAGGTTTGGTGATGCACGATGCAAGAGTGTAGGTGCCTAAGTCAGGGACTGCCCCTGGCGCAAAACCCCACAAGGGACCCGAAAACAGAGTGACAAAAGGAGAGACAGGGAGAGAGAGAGAGAGAGAGAGTACCATAGCCCCTTGAGGAAATTTCGTGTATATTTATTCATATAAAATCCAAGAGAAAAGATAAGATGTTCATTTCTAAAGGGAGTAATCACTTCCCTCTTGTGTTAAGCCCCCCCCCAATCACAAAAGCATTTTCCGGAAGATCCTCCCGAAATCACCCCCACAATTTAGACGCCTATTCCGAATTGGGGGGGGGGGGGTGGGTTGAGGGCTCCCAAAACCCTCAAACCAACCGACCAACATCCTGAATGAGTGTGTGTGTGTGTGTAAGTGTCTGCAAAGCCACTGTCTGACCCTTGCTGGAGCTCTCTCTCTCTCTCTCTAATTACTACGCTCTGAGGGTTGAAGTAATTACTTAAACCCTCCAAACACTGAAGCCTGGACCCTAAACCCTTTGGACCCACAACATGACATTTGGATAATCACCTCCCCCTAATGCAGCGGCAGAGAGAGAGAGAATAATAAAACATATTTCGAGTTTCTATTGGGGGGGGGGGGGGGGGGTTTTATTTTTCGGGGATTATAGAGAGAGAGAGAGAGAGAGAGAGAGAGATGGAGGCAAAGATGAGCTGAGGTCAGCTGGAAAAACACAGAGACGCTCACAGCCTCTCGGCGGCCGAAAAAACCCTAAACCCTAAACCCTAAACCCTAAACCCAGCATGGGCCCTCCAAAACCCGGGGTGGGGGGGGGGGGGGGGGGGGATTCTTGAGCCACAAGCTGGAGAAGTGTCAGACCTCCAGGCTCCCCCCTGCCCGAGGCTCTCGGTTCGCTTTGGTAGGTTTAGGGTCTAGGGTTTAGGGTTTAGGGTTAGGATTTATTGGGCGGTTTCTTTCCCACAATTCTGGCTCGGTAGTCATGGTATAGTGGCCATAAACCCAAGCCCCGAAAAGCCCTAAACGGGATGTCGAGCCGGACTTAGAACTACCCAATTGAACCTCCAAGTAGTCCTAAGCCCTAATCCCCAAAACCCTAGGTCTACAAAAACCGCACCTGGGCGAACTTCCTCCACCGCGGGATCACGCGAGTCCTGCCGCCTGGCACATGTTGGCAGCTCAGGGCTTGAAACCCTAAACCATCCTAAACCCTAAACCCTGAACCCTGAACCCTGAACCCTAAACCCTAAACCCTAAACCCTAAACCCTAAACCCTAAACCCTAAACCCTAAACCCTAAACCCTAAACCCTAAACCCTACCCAAGGATTCTCAGCCCCGACTCAGAGGGGTAGCCGTTGGGCTGCAAGCCTCGTAAGGCTGGCGCTCAGCGTCGTCGGCTACATGTGGTATGCGCCCTACATGTGTCTTCGGCCGCAACTACGGAATCGGAAATCGTTCATACTTGGAGGTTCAGGGTACTGATAACCCCAAGTATAACTGCACTTATAAGCCCCCTAAGTCCCCTAAGTCCTCTATGCAGGTTCTGGGTAGACTTATCATTGGGGTGAAAAAGTACCCATGAACCTCCTAGTATGCCTCCGGATGCTGAACTCTCCAGCTGTCGGAGTCGAGCAGCCCACCATCAGCCCTGTAGACTTTGTAGACCTTTAGGTCGGAGAGATCGCGTAGAAGGCCCAGCTCTGAGACGCTTCTGAGCCCTGAAGCTCGCACTCTTGACACACACCCCCCCCCCCCCCACACACACACACACACACACAGACACACACGTCTTGCAGCCTACCTCGTCAACCAACCGCCAAGGACAGGTCCAAAAGGAAAGGAACGCATTCATGATTGCGAGAAACCCTACTGCGACTCGTTTATTTTGTGGCAAGATATGCCATGACGAAATGTGATATCACAGAATGAGATGCTTCAACAATATTATCGAGCATACGGCAAAGGATATAACCCATCATGGTAGGTTCTACAAGAAGAGAAGACTGCATAGTCCTCTGTATATGACTGAGGCCTTTACCTCCCAGGGTCCCCAAGAGGAGCCATTGGGGTAGGCTCCCTTTTCGTGAGCCCTGTTCCCATTTGTTGAAGGTGCCCTGGGAGAACACCCCCGCACCCTCCCCAAACCCTAAACTCCCTAAGCCCCATGGTGTGGCCCCTGAACCCTGAACCCTAACCCTGAAGTCTGCTTGGCTGGCGAAACTACTTTTTGCTTACGACCCCCTCAAAAACAAAAAAAGATAATATATATATATATATAGACAAACAAACAACAAAACTTCCTGACCTTATAAGGGTAATATCAGGATTATTATCCTGCATTTTGGAGGATTCCTAAGACCCTCAACAGTGGGCCCTCCGGCCCTCCGGTGCCCTCGCAGGTACTTCCGCCAGAGGGGCCCCGAGGTCCATCCCCAGTTCAAGGTGGCCCCTTTGGCTGCAGAGGGTTTAGGGTTTAGGGTTTAGGGTTTAGGGTTTAGGGTTTAGGGTTTAGGGTTTGGGGTTTAGGGTAACTTTCAAAGGTTTAGGGGTTAGGGCACTGTCTCATATGGCGCCATGGCTGCAGAGCTTCGAGAGGGCGTCGTAATGTAGTTGTAGCTCTCAAAGATGATATGGGTTTGGTGTGAGATGTCTCCCCTTATACTAACAGTCCTTAGTAGGGATTATAGCCGGGGGTACTATAATCCCTACGAGGACTGTTAGCAGAAGTGGGAACATCCCAAAGGATGGGTTTAGTTGGGGTAGTGTATTGTACGATCTGGCTATGTGTTGTGAGTTCCTTTGTTGCAGGCAATGGATGCAAACCCTAAACCCTAAACCCTAAACGTTACATGCTTTTGTTGCATGTCTCGCACAATGTCTCGTTTTGCAAATGTTTGTCAGACTCTTTGGCTTCTGGCCCGGTCTGACCGAGTCATCCCCCTAAACCCTAAACCCTAAACCCTAGACCCCAAACCCTAAACCCTAAACTCATAGTA